AGCCAGGCATGGTGGCAAGTACCTGTAGTCCTCCCAGCTGCTCAGGAGGCTGAGGCAAGAAGATCACTTGAGCCTGGGAGGCAGAGATTACAGTGAGCTGGGATCATGCCACCGCACTCCAGCATGAGTGAGACAGTAAGATGCAGTCTCAAAGAAAAAAAACCAAAAAACAAAAAAGAAAGATGGTTTGGGTTGGGTGCAGTGGCTCATGCCTGTAAACCCAGCGCTTTGGGAGACTGAGATGGGAAGATCCCTTGAGCCCAGGAGTTGTCGTGGGGTGTCCCCTATGGCTGTGCTGAGGCACTGGGTCTGAGAAGTAAAGAGGCGGAACACAGGACTGGAAAAAGACAGCCGGGCTTAGGGGGGCCATGCCACTTAAAAGCAGAGACAGGCGAGGCCCTGAATGTCCAGAAGTGTCTGTATTTATTAGGTACAAAGCAGGGGGAAGAGTTGTGAGGTCATTTATAGGCTTAATGATAGGGCATACATAATCAGGTGAGTAGCAAGTGAGGAGGGCACTCCACTAGGTCACTTAGTCAGAGAGGTGGGCTGTGTGCAGTAAGGGGCCGTGCCGTGCGCAGTAATAGAGGGTCGTGCACAAAAAGGGGGTCCACCCCCATTAGGTCACTGAGGCAAGGAGGTGAGCTGTGTGCAACAAGTGCCGTGTGCAACACTTCTTATTTGGGGGCTGGAGACTTCAAAGGATTCCTATAGAAGGATGCTGTAAACCAATGCAGTGAGAGCTGTCGGAGTATACTTTTCTCTAAGATCCTTTTAGGAGGATGATTTGAGCCGGCACAGTAGTGAGAAAAGCTGACGGGGTATGGCCGCCATGGTGCGCTTACACCAGAGGGGTTCTTCTCCCTCGGTTCTTCACAGGATCTCAGGCCTGAGGCCTCCTTTCCGCCAGAGCTGGATGCGAGGAACTGCCAGTCCTTTTCAGGAGGAATAGCTTGCTCCACGCCGGCCATGCAGCGGGTACTGAGTGGTGCCGTCTAGGCCCTGACCTGCCATGTAGCACATGCGCTTTCAGGCTGGGGCGCTACCGTCTGGGTCATTGGTTCTTGTCCTGGTCTGGCTGTTTTTCCCATGTACTTGCTTCTGCTCTGTGACTGCTCTAGGCATTCCTCTCATTAGAAACTACTATATGATTATACAGAAGGATTCTATAAATCACTGTGTCTATACAGCTCCGACTACTATCTGTTATATGATTATATAGAACTAAGTATGATTATATATATAAGCTAGATAAAAGTAAGCAGTAAGTTATACTTCAGGCACTAATTGTGCCTGGGGTCTGCACAGCTTTCCTTCCTCAGTGCCCATGTCGGGGGTTACCCACAGAGACCAGCCTGGACAATATAGTGAGATCCGTCTCTGCAAAAAAAGGATTAAAAAGTTAGCTGAGCATGGTGGTGTGTACCTATAGTTTCAGCTATAGGTGGGAGGATTGCTTGAGCCCTGAAGGTAGAGGTTGCAGTAAGCTGAAATTGTGCGATTGCCCTTCACTCCGGCTTGGGTGATAGTGAGATCCTGCCTCAAGGGGGGAAAAAAAAATTATTTGGCAGGGTACGGGGGGGTCATGCTTGTAGTCCCAGCACTTTGGGAGGCCGAGGTAGGATTGCTTGAAGCCAGGAGACTAGCCTGGTCAACATGACAAGACTCTATCTCTACAAACAATTTTATTTTTACTTATTTATTTTTGAGATGGAGTCTCAGTCTGTCACCCAGCCTGGAGTGCAGTGGTACAGTGTTTGCTCACTGCAACCTCTGCCTCCTGGGTTCAAGCAATTCTCCTGCCTCAGCCTCCCAAATAGCTGGGATTACAGGTGTGTGCCACCGTGCCTGGCTGATTTTTGTATTTTTAGTAGAGTTGGGGTTTCACCATGTTGGCCAGGCTGGTCTTGAACTCCTGACCTCAAGTGATCCATCTGCCTCGGCCTCCCAAAGTACTGGGATTACAGATATGAGCCACCTCACCCAGCTGCTGAACTTCTTTAATCTGTACATTTCTGTCTTACCAAATTGAGGAACTTTTAGAGGGGCATTATTTTCTCCAAATATTTTTTCTGCCTTTTTTTTTCCGCCTTTTTTTTCCCTCTCCTTCTGGGAGGAACTCCAGACACTTTAATATTGTTTCACAGATAGGTGAGGCTCTGTTTTCTTTTTTGTTTTCTCTGTATAGTTTTGCTCTGTAATCCAGGTTGTAGCACAGTGGTGCAATCATAGCTCACTACAGCCTTGATTTCTTGGACTCAAGTGATCTTCTCACCTCAGCCTCTCAAGTAGCAGGGACTAAAGGCACACACCACCATGCCTGGCTAATTTTTGTGTGTTTTGTAGTGATGGGATCTCACTATGTTGCCCAGGCTGGTCTCGAACTCTTGGACTGAACGATCATCCTGCCTCAGCCTCCGAAAACCTGATCATATTCCCTTTAAGATGGCTTCATCTTTGTGCCTTTTTTTTTTTGGTCCAGCAGCTAGAATCTGCTTTCAGTTATTTCATAAGCTGGGCTGCTTGGAATCAGCCTGGAATTTGGGCAGAATTTATATGCAGAATTTGAGGCTCCCCTCTGGGATTCTCTCGATATTTCCCCCCTTATTTTATAGCTGTTACAGTTGCTTCAAACTCTCTTCAGTCACACATTTAAAAATGGAGTTCACCCAGTGTTGTTCCCTGTCTTTCAGGCTTTGGTTCCATCCATTTTCTCCCTGCTTTTGGTTGCTCTCAGTTCCTTCAGGAGGTGGTTTTTTATTTATTTTTATTTATTTATTTTTCTGAGACGAAGTTTCACTCTTGTTACCCAGGCTGGAGTGCAGTGGCGCGATCTTGGCTCACCGCAACCTCTGCCTCCTGGGTTCAGGCAATTCTCCTGCCTCAGCCTCCTGAGTAGCTGGGATTACAGGCACGCGCCACCATGCCCAGCTAATTTTTTGTGTTTTTAGTAGAGACGGGGTTTCACCATGTTGACCAGGATGGTCTCGATCTCTTGACCTCGTGATCCACCCGCCTTGGCCTCCCAAAGTGCTGGGATTACAGGCGTGAGCCACTGCGCCTGGCCAGGAGGTATTTTTTAATATTTTGTCCAGGGTTATAGTTTTTACCTGTGGGACAGTTGGTATGATATGATCTGGAAGAGGAACTGACTTTGATCTACCTTTTTAAGAAATTATGTGGGTTAGACAAAACACATTTGGGTGTGTTTTGGTGTTAAAAGTTGTCCAGAGTGATGAAGCTGAACTAGGACTTTTGTGTTTTAAAGGTTTTATGTTTGCTCTTTTCTTCCTGTCTCCTTCCTCCGCTGTCTGCTTTTTGTGGAGCCTGTAAGTTGTAGACAACAGCATCCCCCTATTGCTACACATCAGGTGTGTCCACATCTTGGACCGTATAGCCCTGCTGCCTGGGCATCCTGTGCATTGCAGGAGATAACGTAGCAGCATCCATGACCACGACCCAGCATAGGTCAGGGGCCACCCCCTAGAAGTAATGAAAAATGCTTCCAGATGAGGCTAAGTGTCCCTGGGGAACAAAACCCTCCCATTTGAGAACTGCTGCTCTAATCCACTGGCATCTGTGGTCCTTACTGTACTCAGCTTTTTCCCAGTGTCTGTTGGTTTCTGCCTTTTCAGAGGGCTCTTGGAGTTTGTCATGGTGTATGCTTGAGAGATGCCTTCCCAGCTGGGGCGCACTTACCTATTCCTTATTCCCGGCTGTGTTTTGGGGCTCTGGCCCCTTCAGTAGGTGTCTCAGATTAGGGAATGTAGCTTTGCACTGAGGACCCCACACCACCACACTGCAGCCAGAGTTGCCTTCCTAAACTGCCCTCTTCTGCACTTGGGCCTCATTGGCCAGTGTGGCGTACTGGCAAAGTAACCTGTGTTGTGGCTCAGCAGTGTTGTCCTCAACTAGTTAATATTCAGGTAGTAGCTAAAACGTGTCATGTTACTGCTGTGTTCTTTCATTTTGAATTTGGGCCTGAACATGGAGGGGAGTAGTGGACTGAGACAAGAACACTGGCTTGAGCACAGCCAGACCTGACCAGGAATGCTTTCACCTTGGAGACTCTTGGCTTTCTGCTTCTTTTTTTTTTTTTGATACGGAGTTTCGCTCTTGTTACCCAGGCTGGAGTGCAATGGCGCGATCTCGGCTCACTGCAACCTCCGCCTCCTGGGTTCAGGCAATTCTCCTGCCTCAGCCTCCTGAGTAGCTGGAATTACAGGCACGTGCCACCATGCCCAGCTAATTTTTTGTATTTTTAGTAGAGACAGGGTTTCACCATGTTGACCAGGATGGTCTCAGACGATCTCTTGACCTCGTGATCCACCCGCCTCGGCCTCCCAAAGTGCTGGGATTACAGGCTTGAGCCACCGCGCCCGGCCCGGCTTTCTGCTTCTTATTTCCATCAACCTGGAGCTAATCTTGTGCTTGGAGTTGGGATATCTGGTTTTAAGCTTTGCTGACTGTGTCATCTTGGGCACGTTCTGAGCCTTTGCCTGAGTCCTCAGCTGTAACAGGAGGGACTGGGATGAGCTCTTGTCCTGTTAGTATTGATTTTGCTTTTATGCCGTTCCCTGTTGTCCTTTTGCATAGGCCTGGAATTATGCCATCCAACTCACACACATTCTTATTAAGTGTATCCTGGTGAACAAGTGGAAATCTGTGTTTTAGGGGTGATTGACAAATTAAGTTATGTGTCCATGGCCATGCCGTGATTTTTAGGGGTATGACTGGAATTTGCTGTCTGGACTGACTTTCGTGTTCTTCCTTTAAAAAAATGATTCCTTGTTCTTTTCTTTCAGCTTTATTTTGTGATTCTGTGTAATTTTTGTGATACTAAAACTGTCTCCTGTGATGTGAACTATTATAAAAATGTCATAAATTGCTTATAGAGAAAACTAGACCCTTCAAAGCTGTAGACGTCCTCGTATACCTATCCTAGATTTTAAATGTAACGTGTTGCTTTTTCTTTCTTTTTTCTTTTAAAAATACCATAGTGTTCTAAGAACGGAAGCATCTGGGCTGAATGGAATTTAGCATCAAGCAGAGTCCCCTTTCTGTTCAGAGTGTTGTAAAGTGCATAAAGATGAAGCAGACACCAGAAATCCTCGGCAGTACCAACGGGAAGACTCCGAGCTGTGAGGTGAATCGCGAGTGTTCTGTGTTCCTCAGCAAAGCCCAGCTCTCCAGCAGCCTGCAGGAGGGGGTCATGCAGAAGTTTAACGGCCATGACGCCCTGCCCTTTATTCCAGCTGACAAGCTGAAAGATCTTACTTCCCGGGTGTTTAATGGAGAACCTGGTGCACATGATGCCAAATTGCGTTTTGAGTCCCCAGAAATGAAAGGGATTGGGACACCACCTAACACTACCCCTATCAAAAATGGCTCTCCAGAAATTAAGCTGAAAATCACCAAAACATACATGAATGGGAAGCCTCTTTTTGAATCTTCCATTTGTGGTGACGGTGCTGCTGATGTATCTCAGTCAGAAGAAAATGGACAAAAACCAGAAAACAAGGCGAGAAGGAACAGGAAGAGGAGCATAAAATATGACTCCTTGCTGGAGCAGGGCCTTGTCGAAGCAGCTCTGGTGTCTAAGATCTCAAGTCCTTCAGATAAAAAGGTATTTAGGACACATTCTGTCAAGGGTCACATGACCTTGAGCAGTGAGCGTGGGCACCTCTTGAGGGCACCTGCATGAGTACTGGGGTGGGGGGAGGAGGGGAGGACAGGCCTTGTACTTTCAGCTGCTTGCCTGAGCCCTGGCTGTGGGTTGGAGCAGGACATCTAGGATGTCCTGGCACTGCCTCCTCAGTTCTCAGCTGGCTGCTGAGCCAGTTGAGAGGTCTAGAGAGGTGAACTAAGTTTTCAAGATTCAAATGGCTAACAAGAGGCAAACCTGTTGCTGAACGCAGGTCTGCCAGTTTCAGAGCCCTTGCTCGACAACGTCAGGCTACAGTTTTTTCATGGATCTCATCTCCAAGGTGTTCTTCAGCCTGACGTGGTCAATGGAGACATGCTGGGCTCTAGAGTACGACTTCTTAAGTCTGCACCATCTGATGAGTGGGAAGCAGAGCTGTGCACAGGTGCTCCTGCTGTCCTTCCCCTGTGGTCCAGAGTCCACTTATTGTCTCCTCAGCCAGGTGGTCCAGCAGATGGCCTGCCTCCCGAGGCCTAGGGATGTGTCTTTTGCCTCCTGTTCCTGGTTCCCATTGCAGAGCCCCGAATGTTGAACACAAGTGAATGAGTGTTCTTATCCTAACTTGAGATGGAAAGAGGTGGTAGTGCTGCTCCATTCTGCCTGGTGGTTGGTGTTTCCATGCCTTCACGTGGCACTCAGGATGGCCCTAACACATATGAAACAACTGAGGGGTCATGGCTTTGGCAGAAGGAAGGAACTCTTGAAGGGACAGCAGTCTCTGTTCATCTGGTGGTCGACAGGGTGTTTCTCTTTGGTTGCAGCTCCTTGAAATTGTTAAAATAATGAAGAGCTTTGAGGGATAAAAAAATTTTGAGTACTCAAGAGTTGTTTAATTCTTGTTCATGTAATTGTGGTAGGCAATTTTTATTTTTATTATTATTTTTTAGATAGGGTCTCTGTTGTCCAAGCTAGAGGGCAGTCGTGTGATCATGGCTCACAATAGACTTGACCTCTCAGGCTTGGGTGATCCTCCTACCTCAGCCTCCTGAGTAGCTGGGACCACAGGTGTGCACCCACTATGTGCCCAGCTAATTTTTCATTTTTTGTAGAGATGGGGTCTTGCTATGTTCCCCAGGCTGGTCTCAAACTCCTGGGCTCAAGAGATGCTTCCACCTCTGCCTCCTGAAATGCTTGGGTTATAGGTGTGAGCTGCTGCCAGCCTGCGTGGCTGTATTGAACCTCATGCTTTTGCATGGGAAGAGGCCTGTGTAAGTTGTCAGAGACCTAGCTGTTTTGTTTTGAGACAGGGTCTTGCTGTATTGCATAGGCTGTTCTTGAACTCCTGGCCCCAAACAGTGTTCCTACATCAGAGCTGGTTTTTTCTTTCTCTTCCAACTGAAAAAAAAAAAAATAAACAAAAAAAGCTGGTTTTTATTACTAGCTCTGTCCCTTGGTTTTGTTAAAACTTGGGTAACTCACCTGATTTTGACTCTAAATCTGCGGAGTGGGGTCAATAAATGTAAACCTGGGTTGCTGTGCAGTAATCTGGTAGCTGTTCTGAAAGTATGTCAGGCCTGGTGCAGTGGCTCACACCTGTAATCAAAGCACTTTGGGACGTAGGAGGATTGCTTGAGCCCAGGAGTTCAAGACCAGCCTGGGCAACATAGCGAGACCCTATCCCTAAAAAAAAAAAAAAAAAAAAAAAAATTAGCTGGGCATGGTGGCACCATCTGTGGTCCCAGCCACTAGGGAGGCTGAGGTGGGAGGATCGAAAAAACATGGAAATGCGTCATGTGGCAGCTCATGCCAGCCGTCACCAGCATGCTTGTGGCAAGGTTTAGGGCCGTCATCCTCAGCTCACAGATGAGGCAACTGAGGCCTGAGGCAGTGGAACAGTCTACTTACGTGCATAGTGTTCTGAGGAGCAAGGCCAGGGACTCGCCCTTGGAGGACTGGGGCCATGCTGGCTGCACTCGTTCCCACTGGAGAGCAGAACTGTGAGTGGCTTGTGGGGAGGAGTTTGCTCTTGGTGGAATGTTCAGCCACAACCTATCCATGTTCTGGAGGTGGAGAAATTGAGGCTCAGAGAGCCCCAAGGACTCAGATTCCATGTGATGTAACTGGGACTTGCTCCTACTCCTCCTGGTGCCCTTGCCCTCACCACACTGGGACGGTTCATGTTGGTGACACCTGGGCTGCTGAGAACCAGTCGTCACACATGACTGAGGGCAGGGTTCAGTATGGATTTGGGATTCTGTGAGAATTCCTTTTTGACCAGTTGAATAAAGCACCATTAAAACCATCTGTTACTACTAGGTCAGGGGCCAGGCACGGTGGTTCATGCCTATAATCCCAGCACTTTGGGAGGCCAAGGCAGGTGGATTACCTGAGGTCGGGAGTTCTTTTTTTTTTTTTTTTTTTTTTTGAGACGGAGTTTCGCTCTTGTTACCCAGGCTGGAGTGCAATGGCACGATCTCGGCTCACCGCAACCTCCGCCTCCTGGGTTCAGGCAATTCTCCTGCCTCAGCCTCCTGAGTAGCTGGGATTATAGGCACGCGCCACCATGCCCAGCTAATTTTTTGTATTTTTAGTAGAGACGGGGTTTCACCATGTTGACCAGGTTGGTCTCGATCTCTCGACCTTGTGATCCACCCGCCTCGGCCTCCCAAAGTGCTGGGATTACAGGCTTGAGCCACCGCGCCCGGCCGAGGTCGGGAGTTCTAAACCAACCTGACCAACATGGAGAAACCCCATCTCTACTAAAAATACAAAATTAGCCGGGCATGGTGGTGCATGTCTGTCATCCTAGCTTCAGGAGGCTGAGGCAGGAGAATCGCTTGAATCTGGGAGCAGAGGTTGCGGTGAGCTGAGCTCGCACCATTGCACTCCAGCCTGGGCAACAAGAGCGAAACTCCATCTTGAAAAAGAAAAATACTAGGCCAGGGAAATAGATTTACATAGAGATCTTTGTAATGTTGAACGTCTTTTGTATGCTATGCACTGTCCTGATCCTTTAGCTGAGAGTGAGAGACAATATTTTGATGAAGCAGTGTTGAGGCTATCATCTAAAACACAGCAAGGGAGCACACTCTGTTTCTGGGAATCGTGTATTTCGACATTTCAGCCTGATGAATCCTTGTCTTCTGGATATAGGGGTAGTGATTGGATGTGTTAGTGTTTGTTTTTTGTTCATTTTCAGATTCCAGCTAAGAAAGAGTCTTGTCCAAACATTGGCAGAGACAAAGACCACCTGTTGAAATACAACGTCGGTGATTTGGTGTGGTCCAAAGTGTCGGGTTATCCTTGGTGGCCTTGCATGGTTTCTGCAGATCCACTCCTTCACAGCTATACCAAACTTAAAGGTACTGTGTTCTTTGGGCTGTTTTTCCAACTTTCTCTTCTGCACTTAATCTTTCTCATCTCCAGACTTCTTTCTTACTCTTTCTAAATAGCCCTGCTGTGGTTCGTATTTGCAGCTTTACCTAAAGTTAGTGATTGAGTCAAATGTGAGATGTTGTCATTTCTTTTTATATTCAATTCAAATACGTACTTCATCTGATTGAATTAGTGATAAGGGAGACATGACTTTTGCCTTGTATAATTTCTGGTTTTATGATAAATAGTTGATGACTTAGTTATAATGATTGCTTATTTCAGCTTGATTTGCAGAGTGTTTTATGCTAAGTTAAAGTTGTAAAAGTGTCCAAGTGAATTTTATTAGGCCTCTGGGAAGATGGAGAACACTGGAAACGATCATCTTTGTCTTATGAAGCTTGAGTAGATAAGGGGATTTTTTTTTTTTTTTTTTTTTTTTTTGAGATGAAGTCTTGCTGTGTAGCCCAGGCTGGAGTGCAGTGGCACGATCTTGGCTCACTGCAACCTCTGCCTCCTGGGTCCTGGTTCAAGCAATTCTTCTATCTCAGCCTCCCAAGTAGCTGGGATTATAGGCATGAGCCACCATGCCCAGCTAATTTTTGTATTTTTTAGTAGAGACAGGGTTTCATCATGTTGGCCAGTCTCGTCTTGAACTCCTGACCTTGTGATCTGCCTGCCTCAGCCTCCCAAAGTACTGGGATTACAGGTGAGCCACCAAGCCTGGCCGATAAGTGGATTTTTACATGGAGCAGCTGACGTAACATATTAAGAATGTAAGGCCTGGTGTGGTGGCTCACACCTGTAGCACTTTGGGAGGCTGAGGCAGGTGGATCACTTGAGGTCAGGAGTTTGAGACTAGTCTGACCAACGTGGTAAAACTAAAAATACAAAATTACTACTAAAAATACAAAAATACAAAATTAGCTGGATGTGGTTGCACATGCCTATAATTTCAGCTACTCTGGAGGCTGAGGCAGGAGAATCACTAGAACCCAGGAGACGGAGGTTTCGGTGAGCTGAGATCGCACCATTGCAGTCCAGCCTGGGCAACAACAGCGAAACTCCATCTTGGAAAAAAAAAAAAAAAAAGAATGTAATATGTTCCTGATACAGAGCAAATGAAAACCCATAAATGTGTTTTTAGAGGAAAAGTGAAAGATAATGTGGATTGAGGTTTTTCTGAAAGTTCTTCCAGAGTGAAGTTGGAATTTAATTTGAGCAAGTTGCAATGTGGCGAGTGCAGAGTTAGGGCTGAGCAAGTTAGTGTTACCCCATGATCTGATCTGTGTACCCTTTGGAAATGTGGTAGCTAAAGCCAGGCCAGACCAGGGCATTGCTCCAGTCCAATATTGCCAACCAGTCAGTCTTATGTGGCCCCTTGGTGGTCCTTGTGTACATGTCCCCTTCTGGTCTCTGGCTGGAGGCCTGATCTCCTGTGGGGGCAGCGTTGCTGCCCTTGTTATGAGCCTGTCTTTGTACTGCATGGCCACACAGGCTTGTCAGCTGGCTGCGGGAGCAAGTGACTGCTGGGAGTGGGGTCCAGCGTGCCTCTCTGGCAGATATAGATGTTACAGGGGCCAGGCTGAGGATGAAGAGGCCTTTGTTGAGTCCTGGGTGCCCTTGCCTGAGTCCTGCCCTGGCCTCTTGTCTTGTGAGGCACAGGAGTACATGTGTGCTCTGCAGGAGTTGTGGCAGAAGAGCCTATGGCCTGGCTTCAGCTCTGTCTCCATGGAAAACCTTTGGCATCCTTGGCTTGCCAGAATTTGGGGACTCCTTTCCAAGGGGCTGCAGGAACCCCAGGGTATACCTCAGGGCCTCTAGGCTTGGTCAGAATGTGAAAAAAAAAATGCAGGTTGAGACAGAAGCTGCCCCCCACCCCCTTTGTTTGGGGGTGGACCTTCAAGCCTCTGCAGCCCGGATGCAGGCACACATGGGTGTGTGTGAGGGGTTGCTACTTCCTTCTCAGCTTTCTAAAACCAGGCGCAGTCTCACAAGCAGACCTTGTGACTCCCATGTCATTTGTCTGTGTGGCACACAAGCAGCTCTTACTGATTTCCTTTTTAGTGTCTGGGGATATTTACTTGTTTACATGATGCCATCTTTAGCTTTTAGCCCCTCATACCTGTGAAACTGAAGTAGTCTTTTGAAAGTCTCCTTTGTATTAAGCTTCATTACTTAGTTTCTTTTTTGGGGGACAGAGTCTTGTTCCATCACCCAGACTGAAGTGTAGTGGCACAATCTTGGCTCACTGCAACCTCTGCCTTCTAGGCTCAGGTGATTTTCCCGTCTCAGCCTCCCAAGTAACTGGGACTACAGGTGTGTGCCACCACACCTGGCAAATTTTTGTATTTTTTTGTAGAGACAGGGTTTTGCTGTGTTGCCCAGCTAGTCCCAGACTCCTGGGCTGCCTGCACAGTGATCCGCCTGCCTCAACCTCCCAGAGTGCTGGGGTTACAGGTGTGAGCCACCTCATCCTAGCCCAACTTTAATACCATTGCATCTTTCCCCTGCCATTTTTATTTCTCTCTCTCTCTCTCTCTCTCCCCGCCCCCCCTTTTCTCTTCTCGCCCCCCGCCCCGCCTCCATCCTTTCCTTTTTTTTTTTCCTTCCCTCTGTTACCCAGTCTGGAGTGCAGTGGCACAATCTCAGCTCACTACAACCTCTGCTTCCTGGATTCAAGCAGTCCTTCTGCCTCAGTCTCCTAAGTAGCTAGGATTATGGCTGTGTGCCACCATGCCCCACTAATTTTTTTATTTTTAGTAGAGGTGGGATTTCACCATGTTGTCCAGGCTGGTCTTGAACTCCTGAGCTCAAGTGATCAACCTGCTTTGGCCTCCCAAAGTGCTGAGACCAGAGGTGTGAGCTACCGCACCTGGCCTCATCTCTCACTTTCTTTGCTTGACTCCTTGACCTTGCACTGTGGCTAAGTGCTTTCACTGTTGTGCTTATGGCACGGTCTTGCAACTCTCTGCAGTTGAGGCTGGGACTCAGGAATCAGCCTGTCAGGACTCAGCTCTAGTTCAGCTGGCTGATCTTGATAATGAACTTAATCTCGCTAAGCCTCAGTTTTCCTGTGTATGAAAATAAGGAAGATGATACCATCACCTGGATGGAAAGGTCTTAATGCAGTGACTACCAAACACTTGTATTAGCAGTTGTTATATCTTTACTTTTAAAACCCGAGTTTTTGTTGTCTCAACCCTCATTCCCTTGTTTTTTTACTATAGCTGCTTCCTGAAAACCTTCCTGTTTGACCAGTTATTAAACCTGCCACCACCTAGTATTTGGTTATTTAATTTTAATAGTTTTGTACCTGTTTTAAAGTGTTTTCATGTCCTTAGGTATTCCCTCAGTTTTGAAAATACAATGCCAAATGGATATACTTGGATTCTAGCTTTTGTGTGTGTATGTGAAATATTTGCTCTATTTATTTATTTACAGACATTTCATACAGGATATTTATTTATTTATTTATTTATTTATTTATTTATTTATTTTTTTTTGAGACAGAGTTTTGCTCTTGTTGCCCAGGCTGGAGTGCAATGGCGCGATCTCGGCTCACCGCAACCTCCGCCTCCTGGGTTCAGGCAATTCTCCTGCCTCAGCCTCCTGAGTAGCTGGGATTACAGGCACACGCCACCATGCCCAGCTAATTTTTTGTATTTTTAGTAGAGACGGGGTTTCACCATGTTGACCAGGATGGTCTCGATCTCTTGACCTCGTGATCCACCCGCCTCGGCCTCCCAAAGTGCTGGGATTACAGGCTTGAGCCACCGCGCCCGGCTATTTATTTATTTATTTATTTTTTTGAGACGGAGTTTCGCTCTTGTTACCCAGGCTGGAGTGCAATGGCGCGATCTCGGCTCACCGCAACCTCCGCCTCCTGGGTTCAAGCAATTCTCCTGCCTCAGCCTCCTGAGTAGCTGGGATTACAGGCATGTGCCACCATGCCCAGCTAATTTTTTTTTTTTGTATTTTTAGTAGAGACGGGGTTTCACCGTGTTGACTGGGATGGTCTCGATCTCTTAACCTTGTGATCCACCAGCCTCGGCCTCCCAAAGTGCTGGGATTACAGGCTTGAGCCACCGCGCCCGGCCTAGGATATTTATTTTTAATTTATCTATTTAAAAAACTTTCAAGTCAAACAGTACAGAAGACACCCATCCGCTCATCTACATTCTCCACCTTGAAACATCTTGTTCTACCTATTCCATCTCTCTTTTTTTTGTTTTTTTTTTTTTTTTGAGATGGAGTCTCACTCTGTCACCAGGCTGTAGTGTATTTGCGCGATCTCAGCTCACTGCAACCTCCACCTCCTGGGTTCAAGCGATTCTCTTGTCTCAGCCTCCTGAGTAGCTGGGCGCCTACAAGTGCCCACCACCACACCCAGCTAATTTTTGTATTTTTTGTAGAGGCAGGGTTTTAGCATTTTCGCCAGGATGGTCTTGATCTCTTGACCTTGTAATCTGCCTACTTCGGCCTCCCAAAGTGCTGGGATTACAGGGGTGAACCACTGTGCCTAGCCTCCATCTCTTTTGTTACATGATGGCTGGTAGCTGTCATGGCACTTTACCCCCAAATACATCAGAACAAGGACAGTTTCCTTACTGACTCAGCACCCAGCCACATTTCAGGAAACATCACATTAGTAACAAGGTCTGCGGTGCTAAAAGTAGGTATGGGGGCATGTCCCCAGCAGGACCCATACCTGCTTTTTTCTGCACTTTGGGGTTGAGATGCATGTTTTGCATCTGGTGGTTGTGCGTCTTCAGGTTCCTCTAGTCTAGAACAGCACTCCCAACCCCCAATTCCTCATGACCGCTTTAGCTCTCCATGATCAGACCTAGGTCAGAAAGGCCAGGCTGGATCTCAGAATTGGAACCATGAAAGGTAGCTTTGGCCCTTTACTAAAGATCTATGTGCAGAAGAAGGGAGTGTCTTGCACCAGCCTAGGCTGGGCAGTGGCCTGGCTCACCTTAGCAGTCTG